TGTCATGCTGATCTTGGTGCCAGGAAGGCTCCTCGGCTCCGCTGATCCCGGTGCTGGGAGGCATATTACCCTTTTAACTATATAGGATAGAAGGCCTGGGGGCCGGCTGGTTTGCCCTGAAGGTGTCCTGGATCAGGGTGGGGGTCCCCACTGGGGTGCCTGGCCAGCCTGGATGAGGGGCTGAGGGCTGTTTGCAGCTGGTCACACACCCTTCAGGGTGGGGGTCCCCACTGGGGTGCCTGGCCAGTCTGGGTGAGGGGCTGAGGGCTGCTTTCAGGCTGACTGAAGCTCCCAACCGCTCCTTTTTTTCTTTTTTTTTTTTCTTCTGGGCCAGCTTTAGCTCTGGCTCTAGCTCTGAGGCTTCCGCTGCTGGTTTGTTTCGGTTCTATAATCGAAACAATGTATAACTTCAGCTCTGAGATCCCAGCCGGCTATATTTGTTAGAATGTTTCAAACTGCCAGCTCAGAGGCCGGAAAGTCAGGTGGGGAACGTTGCAGTCTGCAGTCACGGGAGCAAGCAAGCCTCATGTTCGCTTCCAGCTGCCTGGCTGCCGGCCGCCATCTTGGCTGACAGTTAATTTGCATAAGGATACGCTGATTAGCCAATCAGAAGGGTAGCGGTCGTACGCCAATTACCATTTTCCTCTTTTATTAGTGTAGATGTACCTTTCACTGCTTCTTAGGCTGTGGCCCTGTTGTCAGCACTGTGCCCAGTGAGTGGCTTCTCCTTGAGCATGGCGGTATGGGTTTGTTCCATGTGAGTGTGGCCCATTCGTGGCTGCTGGTCTCTAGCCATGCAGCAGAGTCAGTCACTCTGGCTAGAGCAGCTGAGTTGCTTGAGGCCCATTTCCAAGTGAACAGTAGCCTCCAGGATCCCCCACAGTATCTTTCAACCCCTTAGAGGTGGGCAAAACAACCCTTTTCTGCCTGCACTGCATGTACTGTAGCAACAGGGAGTAATTCTCTCTAGAGATTGACTCAGGAGTACAAAGGGTTCTTTTCTCAGTCATGCTTTTTGGGCTCCAAAGTTCCAAATTAATCTCAAAATTTTAATTTATGTTAATTGTTTTTATTAAATACTTTCTACTAAGCAAAAGAATATTTGCAACATGAATAAGCTATAATTAATAATAATAATAAAGTAAATACCCATGTCCCCATCACTGAACTTTACAAATAGAACACATGGTTTTGACCAGGGTAAAGCCAGTGAGGCACTTACCTTGGGCACAAAGAAATGTGTGACACAAAAAAACCATAGTAATCAAAAGAAATCATATTTAAATGCAACATTTTAAAACTCAAAATTAATGCAAAAAATCCATAATTAATAAAATATCAACATTTTAAATACAGATAGGATCAGTATTACTGAGTTCTCCTTTTGCCTCTGGCTCTAGAACAGCGTGATGTGGGATAGAACATTACAACCTACCTGTCCGTCAGGGTGCTCCCTGCTCTGGAGACCTCAGTGACTGTCCAGCACAGCATCGGTTGGGGCAGCCTCACGTCTCCAGCACTCCTCCTCACTCAGCGATTTGTCACCTGTCACTTCTGTGCCTTCTGTTCCCTGGGCCCCAATATCCACCCCCTTCCCTCTGCCTATGCATATCTCACCATCTGACCACCTGTCCAGGCCCAACTCAAATCCTGCTTTTTCACTAAGCCTCTCTAACTACGCTAGACACCCCCACCTCCCCATGAGTAGTGACTTCCCCTTCTCTGAAATCCTGCCCCAGTTACAATATGTGCTCTAACTTGGCATTCTCAGGGATTGTCCCTTACCTAATGTTTCAGATTTGTCTGCCTTTTCCCCTGCTAGATAGTATGTCCCTCAAGAGCATGTTATATTTCTCTTATATCTGCCAGAGTACCATTACACTTGGCTTTCAGTAAGTATTGACTGTAACTGGTTAGCTGGTGAATTTGATTGATTAAAAAGTGAGAATTGAATATATTTGTTTCTGATTTAATTTTCTGACAAAGGACTCTTCTCTTTAGAAGTAGTAAACATTATGCATTTCCTTGTGGACATATTTTATCGTATCAGTTGCGATTGAGTTTTACACCATATATAAGCTTACATAGATATATGCAGATTTTTTGCTCCTATTTCTGTAAGTTTTGCAATTAAGGAGAAAGGAAGAAGCCAACATTAGCTTAAGTTTTATTTCCCAGCTTCAAATTTCCCTTGCGTGAAAACTAGGTGCTCTTACCTAATATAAATGATGGGTTTTAATAGCATTTAAACCTAAATAACTAAGACCTACATTCAGATCAACACTTATTGTATATCTGTTCTTCCATTTAAAATCGTTTTGGAGGAAAGAAAGAAACAAGAACTACTAGAGTAAGTTAGTGAGGAACTGCTCTGTCTTGACCCAGAACTATACTGAAACACTTAACCAGAGACAATGAGTGGAGAGAAATGTAGCCTGCATGTTTTTCATCGTTTTCTGCTTTTATTGTTTCTCACATTTTACCCACCTCCTATTTCTGAAGGTATGTACCAGAGAGCTGTGTGGGGCTGAGTTGGCCAACAGCTGTTCTATTACCTTCTAGGTCTTCATGTGTTTTCTCAGGAAACTGGTTTTATGTAAGAAACTAGAACCATTTCAACAGAGCTTCAAACAAAGCTCTAAAGTGAATGCATAATGTGTCTTTCCCTCAAGACTTAAATGCCAAGTAATGAGTTGACAAATCACTTTAAAAACAGAAACTGGGGGAGAAAGGAAGGAGCAAGGTGGGGGAGGGTATAGGGGGGATAAATGGTGATGGAAAAAATAAAATAAAGGAAAAAACAAAACAGAAACTTCCCAATAAAAATATGGGCAAAAGCAATTCACAAAAGAAATTTAAACAGCATGAAAGATGTTCAGCCTCATCAATAATCAAATAAATGATCTTTTTGGCCTGGTTAGCCAAGATTAAAAGTAAAAATGTCCAGTGCTAATGTGTGGGGCATAGGTATTCTTGTGAATTATTGGTGGAATTTTAAATAAGTATAATCTTTCAGCATGGCAATCTGGCAATTGTACCAAAATTTTAAATTTGCATATTCTAACCCAGTAATTCCACCCATAAAACCCATACATTGCTCAGAACTACTAATTGTAATGTGGTTTATACTGTGGAAAACTAGAAACAAGGTAAATGTTCTTTAACACAGGATTGGTTAAATATAGCCCTTTCATACACTAGAATATTATGCAACTATTAAAATAACTATATATATATAACAATGGTTTTTATTAAATGTTTACTTAATGGTTTCCTTTAAGTAAAACTTATAATAAACAAACCAAAATTGAGGAATGTGAAGGCCACAAAAACTGGCCTGAGGAACTGTTGCAGATGGAGGAGGGTCTAAAGAGGCATCACAACAAATGTGTGATCCCAGGCTGGTTTCTGGACCTACAGAAGACATTATTGGGACAGTTCACAAAATTTGAATGGGATCTTGTGATTACATGGTAATTTTCCTAATTTTAAGGGTGTGCTATGATTATATAGAAGAATTTTCCTGTTTTTAGGAAATATGTACCAAAGTATTATGGGTTAAAGGCCATTATATCTCTAACTTACTCCCAAGTGGCTCAGAAAAAAAATTATGTATGTATGAGGCAGAGACAGAGACAAAGAAAGAAAATAGGCAAAATGTGTTAAAATATTACAATTGAAGAATGTGGGTGAAGGGTGTACAGGAACCCTCTAGACTCTATTTTCAACTTTCCTATAAGTTTTAAACTACTTTAAAACAAGAAGTTTAAAAGCAATGGTGCTGAGCAATTCTCTATATCTGGTATCTTTTAAATGTTTGGTTTAAGGCTTATAAGCTACGGCATGTGAATAGGATGAAAAAATTGAGTTAATTATGAACCCCAGTACAAGAAAATACCTTTATCTCTGATGCTGCAGACTTACTTCATAATCTTCATCAGATCAACTCTCCCTCACCTGAGAATGCTGGGCCAAGCCAAATCCTCTACCTCAGGATACCACCCTCTGAGCACCAGGCCATAGCTCCTGACCCGACACACCTGCACTGTGCTATCACTACATGCTGCTGCACTAGAGAGATGTCTGACCACAGGAGCTGACCGGGGAGTCTTCAGAAGGGTATTTACACTAAGAAATAGACTAGAAAAGAACACATGTTTATGGTGGGCATTTATTTAGGGCAGAAACCCTGGTTAGTGGCCAGGGAAAGTCCTTCATACATTTGGAAGGCCAGTTTGGTCACCTTCCTTCTTGCCCCAGGTCTAGGTCATCCTGCAGACCCTGGCTCTGGTGGACCTGGGGTGGTCAGTTCCTCATAGAGGTGAAACCAGGATGTAGGTTCCACTTAGACTAGGTACTGAGACATTGCCTGCCCAAAGAGGCTGGTTCCATTTAAGATAGACCCACAGGATTAATTCTGTTCTGGGCTACAGCTCACTTCAGAACTAAGTAAACTCCATGGTCATGGACCCAGGTGTCAGCATGGCCAGGGCCAATCCCAGATGCGGCATTCGCCTATAGGGTTAGGGTTAGGGTTAGGGTTCTCTAGAGCAGAAAGCACAGCTTGTCCCCATGGGTTCACCTTACAGTTGCTCTGAGCCTTGTATCCTGATTAACTAAAACTCGCCAATCAGATCACTAAAGCTGGAGGGGAGACTGCAGTCTGGAGTTTGGTCTCTGTGCAGAATTCCTTTTTTTCCCATCTCTTTCAGTAACAGGGTATTATAATGATAGCAGAAACACAGTCAAAACATAATTATCTGGAGCTGAATGGTTTTTAGCTTATAATTGACAATCCTACCTAAAAGCCTTCTTAGTAATGGAATTCCTATTACACTATCAGGCATTTCACTCTGCTTTTAAGATTTCCATCTACCAAACCCTTGGAATGTCCTGCATAAGTCCAACGGGGGCTCTCTAGACCGGCAGTCGCCAACCTTTCGGACCTCACGGGCCACCAGTGGTCCGCGGACCACCAGTTGGCGACCACTGCTCTAGACTAAATTTCTCAGCCCAGGAAATAGCCAACAGCAGCTCCACTGGAAACACATTAGCCACAGTCAATGAGGCCATATAACTAGCATTCTAGGAGAAATAAAGGAGACGCTGGCCTCTGATACCAGATCTGCCTGTCCTATGACCAGCCGTGCTAAAGCCTGCAGAGCCACAGCAAGGCCTGCCAGAATGAGGCAGCTGCGTCCTGACAGTCCTCTCCAGCAGGGCTGATGGTATTAGATTTCTCTCCAATCGGAGTGAGGGGAAGGGAAGCCCTGACTGTTTACATGCTAAGATCCTATTTCATGTTACTGGAGTCTTTGTCATGCATTTACTCCTTCACTGGAAATCAGGAAACCTGGGGTCCAGTTTGGTTCTGCGATGAACCTGCTTGAGTGATCTTTGCCATGTCCTTTCATCTCTCTAGGCCTTGGTTTCCTCATTTGTTAAAGAGCTAATCTCTAAAACTCATCGACTTTTCCGTGACTTAACTGTGAAATAACAGCAGATATCTCACGTTTCCTCAGTCGTAAAATGGAAAGGAAAAAAATGGTAACTTTACTTTGGAGAAACCTGATAGATACCACCTTAGCCAAGTAATCCAGGTTGAGTCACCTGTAATAAAACACATCAATATCATGTACCTCCAGATATGATTTAATGAGAAGGGCACATTACCTCTGTGATATTCTTCCCCCAAATCTATAACTTAGTCTAATCATGTGAAAAACATCAGACAGTTCAAGTTAAGGGACATTCTACAATATAACTGACAAGTACTCTTCAAAAGTGCGAAGGTCATGAGAGAGAAAGACTGGATTTGTTAGAGACTGAAGGACACTAAGGAGACCTGATAAATGCAATTCAGGATCCTAATTTGGATCCTGCAACCGAAGGAAATAAAAAACCTTCTTGGAAGTACAAAGAAATCAAAATAGTCGTATAGTTTAGTTAATAGAATTATAGCAACACTAATTTCTTCATTTTGATCATTGTACCATGGTATATAAGGTATAAACATTAGGGGAAGTTGGGTGAATGGTATACAGGAACTCTATTCTATCTTTGTAACACTTTTGTAAATCTAAAATTACTCTATGCCCTGACCGGTTTGGCTCAGTGGCTGGAGCGTCGGCCTGGAGAGTCCCAGGTTCGATTCCGGTCAGGGGCATGTACCTTGGTTGTGGGCACATCCCCAGTAGGGGGTGTGCAGGAGGCAGCTGATGGATGTTTCTCTCTCATGGATGTTTCTAACTCTCTATCCCTCTCCCTTCCTCTCTGTAAAAAGTCAATAAAATATATTTTTTTAAAAATTACTCTAAAATTTAAAAATATTTTTTCTTTATTGTTTAAAGTATTATATATGTCTCCTTTCCACCCCCCCCCCCATTGAACCTCTCCCCAGCTACTCCCATCCCCTAAAATTTTTTTAAACTATGTGATTGTGGCTAGCTTATACTAGGCACTTATTGAATGGTAGCTATTATAATTATAAGCAGATACATGGCTTCCAACAGTTGTTGAATCAAAGAAATAATTATTGGTGGAAAAGACAGTAATATGGAGCCATTAATTGGCCTTGTTGTTCTAATAGAAATCATTCCAGCCATAAATATTGCATGACCCTGGCTAAAATAAGTTATAAAACTAGTTCTTTATCCTTGAAGAGGCTTCTGGGAATTGAAATGTGCAGCTGTTTATGTGCTTATCTGCCCGTTGTTCATGGGCTCAGATTGGATTTCTCCCTGATAGTGTGCATTTCTACAGTCAGGTAGCTGGATAAAACTTGATTTTGGACCTGCTAATCTGAGAGGGTGTTTTATCCACAGCAATTGGAAGAGCAAAATGAATAGTTCTTTGCACTCTGTGTGTTTGATATTCCCATCCTGCTACGACAAGAGATTCATTCTGTCACACACTTACCTCGGTTGCTAACAGACGGAGCTGGCTGAGACAGCTGAGGAAAGAAAGACCAAAGAGTGTGTGGCCCAGAGGCAGCTCCTCCCCCAGGGGCATATCAGCCGAGAAACTTCCATTGTGTTGGCAAAGCAATCAGAAATCTGTAATATTTTAAACAATAAAGTAACAAAAAAAAGAAATGTAAGAAATCTCTCCTCACATAGGGAAATTTCATTCAGCAGGTACGCAACACGGATTTATTAAGAGCCTTCTACACATACTTGACTCTGAGGGTGGAAAAGGGACCCGTTCCCACCTTCACAGAACTTACAGTCTTGTGGGCAGACAGGAAGCTCAATAAACAGAAACAATAAAATGTGGGTCGCTGCTGTGAATTTCAAGGTGGGACAGGCAGAGCACTGAGCTGGGACTCACATGTATGATGATGGAGAAGAAAACTGCCCACCCCACCCCTCTTTGCTTTCCATGCCATTGGTGAGTTGAGGGTGGAAGACATTCTTTTCAGAGGCTCCTTTAGTGCCGGCAGAGAGACATGCCTCCGATTGGAGACCTGTGACCCCAGGATCCTGGCAGACGGCACCCATCCCGGTGCTGTGCACGTGGAAGATGTTCCTGCTCATAGAGTGAGTGCTGATTTGCACCAATGAGTGGCTGTCACTCAACCTCATCTAACCTCAAAGTACTATTAAATGCAGGTCATCTCTAACAACATTTATTGAGTGCTTAAGACAATCCTGACACTATTTTACATGTTTTACATAAATTAACTTAATTTTTACAACTCCATAGCAGAATGACTATTATTATACCCATTTTATAGGTGAGAAAATGAGACATAGGAAACGAGGAAAAAATGAGTCACCTAACGTTACACAGGCACAGCCAGTGAGCAGCAGGCCCAGGTGTGCACCTCAGCAATCAACATCCAGAGGCCGCCCTCCTCTGTCTGCCTCTCCAAGAGAGCAGAGGTCTCCGGGCATTTCCTCAGAGGGCCAGGGGGATAGGCGGATGGTTCCTAAAGGCCACTCCAGACACAGGGATCCTCCAAACTGCAACCCCAGCGATCAAGAGCCTGGTTGTACTCCGATGGCAGCTGTTGCTCCCCACCTTCCCTCATAGCCTCTGACCTGGGGAACAGGCTGGGCTGCAGTCTGGGGCAAGCATCCACTGAGCCACACTTGGAACGTGGCCATCTCCTTACAGTCTGAGCAGCAGTCACTGCGGGTCAAAGACAAGGCGGAGGCCAGGCAGGACTCCCCTTTCCCAGAGGCACTGTGCTCTCATCTAAGAGCCCTGAGACCAACTCTTTCCGTATGACACACCGGGACCTGACCACCAGCCTGGTTCAGGATCCAACCCTGACTCAGATGATTGACATGGTGTACCTGGATAATGTCTATTCAGATACACTTTTTGTAACAGACTTGGTCCCAGTGTTTATTTTGGGGGTTGGGGATAGACAAGAGGTGGCTAGGTTGAGTGGGCAAGAAGAGACAACTGAGAGGATTCGGCTGAGTCCTCCACCCAGATAGCTCCACTCAATGCTGACGCCAGAACATTCCAGAAGATACACCAAATCCAATTGAAATGTTCTGATATCCTGGAGTTTTAGAAAGTAAGTAAAATTGATGCCCTTAAAAATGCCTATTCTCCTAAAACTGAGCATCTCACTCTTGTTAGCTTTTTTTCAATAAAGTTTTCCAGTAATTTGGTAACCAGTAGTTTGATGGTCTGTATAATGGCCAACTCAATAATGCATCAGAAGTTCTTCGCTAATTTTCAGTGTGCAACTTACTCAAATGTTTCCCTTTCATGCCCTGACAGCACCAGCACCTAACGGCCACACGTATACGTCCTCACCGGGTCTCTCTCTCTCTCTCTGCCACACAGGAGAGCTGCACGCTAGCCTCGCTCTTGCTTTCATACTCGGGATCTTTTTTCATGTCTATTTTTAGTTTTCCTGGTTCAAGCTTCTCCAGGCCACTGAAACACTAGCCTCACTTTCTCTCCGTCTGGCGTGTATGCTGCTGGTAGGAGCCCCCCAGGTAAAAATCAGGGCATAAACCCTTTACTGCTCCTTCCTCAGGAAAACATATGGCTTCGGGATCACAGCTCAGTTTTTAAGATGAACGCAAGCTGGACAACCTTCTGATGGGCTTGAAACTTTGAATTGGATGTGGACATTTTTCTCTCAGATGACAGAATCACTCCAACTTCCCCTTTGCAGTTGCTTCCTTTCCTTGAAGGTAGCTGTAACTTGTTTTCTTTAAAACTCTCTTCCTTCCACGTTTGCCTGCCATGCCCACAGTCATTAGCCCGTCTGTGGCCCCACAGACAGGGGCAGAGCCCAAGTCCCCGGGGCCGGTTCCCCTCCCGGCCCAGGGCAAGACCACTGAGGCCGGGGGCGCTAACCCAAGTGGCATCTACTCAGCCATCATCAGCCGCAATTTTCCTATCATCGGAGTGAAAGAGAGGACATTTGAGCAGCTTCATAAGAAATGTCTGGAGAAGAAGGTTCTTTATGTGGATCCTGAGTTCCCACCAGATGAGACCTCCCTTTTCTATAGCCAGAAGTTTCCCATCCAGTTCGTCTGGAAGAGACCTCCGGTGAGTAGCTTGCTGGTTGCTGGTTGGGTTTTTGTCTCAGAGAAGTCCTCCCTCCGAGCACCTCCCACAGCTCCACCGTGCACATGGGCTGGGGCTGTGGCCAGCAAACTGCGGCTCGTGAGCCACATGCGGCTCTTTGGCCCCTTGAGTGTGGCTCTTCCTAAGCCTTAGGAGTACCCTAATTAAGTTAATAACAATGTACCTACCTATGTAGTTTTAAAATTTTGGCTCTCAAAAGAAATTTCAATTGTTGTACTGTTGATATTTGGCTCTGTTGACTAATGAGTTTGCCGACCACTGGACTGGGGGAAGGGGCCTGGCTGCAGCTCCACCAGGCTCAGTCCTCAGTGAGGCAGGGCTGCTTCTCTCTCTCTCTCTCTCTCTCTCTCTCTCTCTCTCTCTCTCTCTTTCTCTCTCTTTCTCTGAAAAAAATTTTGCTTTTTATAAAAGTCATTGGAACTCAGTTTAATTTATCCTATAAAATAAATATTCCTTTCCCAGAGCATATTCCAACCACCCAGATCTGGCCTGCTTGAATATCTTGCACTTTTATAAGATTCCTTCAATTTCTTGGGCGGCAGTCATGATGTTCTTTGGTTTGCCAGCAGCCATGTCGTTCTGAAGCATGGAAGCCACGGAGAGGGGAGAGTGGCAGGCAAAGGCTACTGTTTCATGCATAAAATGTTAGGGTTAGAAGGAGAAACCCTAGCAATTGTTTTGTCCGTATACCTCACCTCACAAATGAGGGCATAAAGGCACGTCAGAGTGGAGTACATCCAGTGAGCACATGACAGCTCAGATTTAAACCCTTTCTCTTCTAGCAGACGCTTCCAGCCTCCGGGTGTCATTTACAGTGAGCTACCAGAAGGAAAATCATATTCAATCATAACCTCCAGTATGACTCTTGTTCTTAATTCAAGAAAATTTACTGAGTATCTACTAGACTAGAGCCCAAACTAGGGAGACAGCAGTGAGGAAAGAAGACAAAAATTCCTGCTTTCCTGGAGCCTGGAGTCCTGAGGGGAAGGTGGGCATTGAACAAGAGTGACTGTCAGGAGCTAATGTTCAGGGACCATAAGGCAAGGGGAGCTCCCCTGGTTCAGGGAGAAACCATTTACTCTGAGGCCCAAAGCTATTGAGTAGTTTGATCAAGATAAGCTGAGGCCCAGTGCAATTCATTAGCCATGTTTTTCTTTTTAACCTGAGATGAAATAGCCAACAACTCTGTTCTCACCTTGTGTGTTCCACAGGCTTCTTTCCTCTGCTGACGACTCTGTGGTAAGGCCCAGGACTAGCCCCAGGGCCCTCAGTTTAGAAGTGAGGACTTGAAAGAACTTTATTCTTTAACCCAGTTGCTGCCCTGCTGCTAGGGTCCTAGACATGTCACACACACACACACACACACACACACACACACACACACACCTGCTGCCATGCCTTCAGGATAAGTCCAAACCCCTTAGCGGAGATACAGGCCCTTCGAAAGCTGGCCCTGTCCACCTGTGCATCTCATCTCCACCCTCTCCCCTTGGACCCTGACATGCTCAGCTGCTCTGTTGTTCCAAGTCTTCTCAATCCCGGAGGCCTTTGCTCATGCTGTCTGTCCATCTGTCTGGAATGCCCTCGTTTTCACCTCCTTGCTCCTCCTCACCTTCTCTCCAAAACTCTGTTCAGGTGTCCCTTCCTTCAAGCTTGCTCCTGTCTGTTGCCCGTCTTCTGAGAGCAGGGCCATTCCTGTTCATCTCTGAGCCCTCCTACCCAGCAACGGGCCAGGCCTTCAGGCGGTCCTCGGCTTCGGGTGAATGACACCCCACATCTGAAGGCGCTGACCCCGAGAGTTAAGGCAGCCCTACCTGCCAAGGCTGGGAGTAGCTAAAAGCCTTTTCCAACATTACTACAGAGAAAAAGCCAAAAAACATACTGTTCTTAGTAGCATCATTGGTGGATTTTAGCCTTAAAAGCTAGACTTTTATTAATAAAAATGTTTTACGGTTTATTAATAAAAATGTTTTACGGTTCTATTATACTCTAAGCTCTAGATCAGTCCTAAAGTTATACTGTCAGTATCAGTGTGACATGAGGAGCACTGACACACCTGTCTGTCCCAAGCTGTGCTCCCCCCACCACCAAAGTCCTGAATTTTCTACTGTTGCTAACAGTCCAAGCAGCAAAGCCCACTCTTGGTTAAAATGCGCCTTTCCCCTGAGGTTAAGATCAGGAAAACACTGCCTATCGGGTTTATTAGCATAAATTAGCATACAGAATTAGAGATGGTCAGAGTTGGAATGAATCTTAGAGATGTGGTCTAGCCCCCTCACACAGACAGGTGAAGTGATTAACACATTGCGTACCGCTCACGAATGTTCTCGTGTTTCCCGCCCCATCCGTTAAGGACCGCTCACGAGTTTTCTCGTGTTTCGCGCCCCATCTGTTAAGATCCAGAAAGAGCAAATGACTTATCTATAGTCACACACGTTGACTGAAGTTGAAAAACGGGAATGACTTGAGAACTTTCTGAAGGGAGAGCACTCTTCGGGGACACACGTTTTCATGTGCTCCAGAGGTGTAGGGACGTTGGCCAGCCTTCAGCATTCTGGAAAGGAGACTGTGTCCTATGAGAGGCCCTTCCTGCTTTTACAATCTAATGCACAGAATCATTGGAAACCAATATGATTTTTTTTCACAATAAAGTATTACTTATTCCGATCAGATGAGGAGGAGGAGGAGGGCAGAGCTATTCACAGCCAGCAATAATTCTAGTTAGGATGACATGCTGCACTTCCAATCCTTCCCTCCTAAAAGAAGATAGACTCAGGCCACCTGTAATCTCACCTGCTGACCTGAGCTACTTCACTGCCTCTCCTCCTCTGTTAGAGAGCATCGTGCAGGGAGTCTGCAGGCCAAACAATCTGATTCCTCCCCCTTTTCTAAGGTGATCTGTTTCTAGGAGCAGGAAGCAAACAAAATACTTCCCACATAATACTTCCCAATCGTTAAGCCACATTTTCTTAAGGACAAACCCCTGGGTGGGGGAGAATGGCTTCTAGAACAGAGCTTCTGGGAGACTGATGATTCTTGCCCACTATCATTGGGGACAGATGTGGGGGGATCATGTGTGTCGTCCTGTGTGGTGGGCGGCTTCAGTCACACAACACTGCTGGCCTCTCTCCTCCCCTGGGTGGATTTGTAAAGAGAGCCTGGCCTGCGAAGCCCAGTCTTCTTCTTCCTTTTTCCTCCTGGGAGCAATCTACCTGCTCCTCCTGCCAAGTTTTGCTGAGGCAGGTCCCATAGGGAGCCCTGCAGGGGGCCTGGGCCACCTGCCACTACTGCTGGTGAACAGTAATGATAACAACCAATCTCGATTGAGAACTCCTGGTATGACAGTAATTACTTTAAGGGCTTCCTTATATTACCTCATTTAATCTTCACAACAACCCTGTGAGGTGAGTACTAGTATTGTCCCCACTTTACAAATGAGGAAACTGGGTCTCAGAGGGGTAAAGAACTTGCTGCAGATCTCCCAGTTAGTAAGGGTGGAGTTGAGATTTGAACTCAGGCAATCTGGCCCCAGCGCTTAATAATGAAATCTATCTAGTTCTGGGACTTAGGAGCCAATATCAGATTTATCAACAATAAATGTGGCATTTTGGACTCCCTCCTGCTCTACACTGATACCTATTCTTCTGCTGGTTCAAAACTCAGGCATGGCCCTAGCCGGTTTGGCTCAGTGGATGGAGCATCGGCCTGTGGACTGAAGGGTCCCGGGTTCGATTCCGGCCAAGGGCACATGCCTGGGTTGTGGGCTCAATCCCCAGTAGGGGGGTGCAGGAGGCAGCCGATCAATGATTCTCTCTCCTCATTGATGTTTCTATCTCTCTCTCCCTCTCCCTTCCTCTCTGAAATCAATAAAGAAATATATTTAAAAAAAAAAAAACTCAAGCATGGAAATGAGGTGGCATTTATTAGGCCTCCACAAGCTACAACAGGCATTGAAGGACACCTCAGGGTTTGGCCCCCAGATGCAGCAGGCTCTGTGGGCTGGAGATAGAATAGTGCAGTGGCTAAGAGCCCAGTCTCACCCACGTTCAAGTCCTGGCCCTGCTACTTAACACTTGGGTAATCATCATCACGTATTTTTCTCTTTGCCATAAGGTCCCCACTTGAAAAATGGGGTATAATCATAACAGAAGAACCTACCTCATAAGGTTGTTGTGGAGATTAAATGAGTTAATGCACACCCAAGGCGTAAAGGGTGCCTGGCACATGAATGAGTGCCCCGTAAACATGTTGTGCAGTCTTATCACTGCCTGCATCTGCTGTGCAGTCTCCAAAAGAGGCAACACATCTTTCCAGCTTAATTTGTGTCCAGGACCAATCAACAGCCCTAGCTGGTATAGCTCAGCAGTTACAGCATCGGCTGGCACACTGAAAGGTCTCAGGTTCAATTCCCAGTCAAGGGCACCTACCTGGATTGCCCGTTACATCCTTGGCCCTGGTCAGGGGTCATGTGGGAAGCAACCAGCCAATGTGTCTCTCTCACATCAATGTTTCTCTCTCTGTCTCCCTCTCCCCCTTCCCTCCCTATCTTCCACTCTCTCTAAAAAAACAATGGAAAGAATATCTTCAGGTGAGGATTTAAAAAAAAAAAAAAAAGCTAACCACAGCATATGTTTGAGTACTTCATGCTTGATCTAAATGAATCAGTCCAACCAAACATGAGGGTATGTGAACAGGCCCCTCATGGGCACGTGACTGCTTGTTCTTTAGGACAATTCCAGTCATTCACATTAAATACAGAAATGTGTGTTGTATTATGGAAATGCAAGTACCAAACACCTCCATTTCTCCCCCAGCTCTTCCCCTAGGAAACCTGCTCTCCCTCCTCTGCCCTCCAAGCTCCTGGGGCTGAAAGCTGGGACGCTGCATTTTCTCTTTGCAACTTTTTGCTCAGCTTTCTGTTTCCATTGGCTGTTGGGGGTTGGGAGAATCTACCACCCTCC